TGATTTACCTCCACCAGCTCTAATCTGCCGACCATCATGTTCCAAGGGCCAATACGCTTAAAGCTGGTCCAAAAATCCACTGTTTATATAATATACTGTGTATATAATCAGCAGATCAATTGTTACACACTTTAACTTTATTTACATATGGGCCTATACTGGGGATGTCCCAATAGCATTAAGTATTTGGTATTTTAGACGGTATACCACAACGATGTTCACAAGTCCTTTTCGCAAGTCAAGGTCAAGTCTCAAGTATCTGGTCACAAGTCCAACTCAAGTCTCAAGTCTTTGTGGTGTGAGACATGGTCAATTTTAGAGTCTTTGTTCACAAGTCAATGCCAAGTCTTTGTGGGGTGAGACTTGATCAAGTCTAAAGTATCAGGTGACAAGTCCAACTCAAGTCTCAAGTGTTTGTGGGCTGAGACTTGATCAAGTCTCAAGTCTTTGGTCATGAGTCCTGGTCAAGTCTCATGCTTTTCTTGTTGTAATGACCCTTCTATTATCTGCTGTTAATACTGCACAGCTGGCTGCAGGTGTGCCAGCCACCATGGTGTTTTAAGTCTGAAGTCTCCATCTCTGAACCACCATGGTGTTTTAAGTCTGAGTGACAAACTCAAGTCTCCATCTCTGGTATATCAATACATTAGGTTGGCTGTAGGTGGAATAGCAAAGTGGGGGAAAAAAAAGGTCAACATGCAGGGAAACGCTTATAACCAGCTTTATATTCTTCTAATTGACAAAAGACTATTTAATCAACAATGAAGAAGTCTTTCTATTTGAATAAAAACATTATTTCAACTGTCAAGGACTGCTTAACTAAAAACTATATAAAAATTAAAGATTGATCAATTTAAACATTCATTAAACACATTAGAAACCATTTAAACACTATCTCCTGCTTTCCAGTAATCAAGGTGAAACTAAGACGTTAGCTTTTTCAGGTGTTTTACTAAACGTTTTGTATTGTGACACACACACACACACACATAAACAGTATCCAGTAAGCTGGATGGATGGATGATGAATGGATAGATAGATAGATAGATAGATAGATAGATAGATAGACAGACAGACAGACAGATAGATAGATAGATAGATAGATAGACAGACAGACAGACAGACAGACAGACAGACAGACAGACAGACAGACAGACAGACAGACAGACAGACAGACAGACAGACAGACAGACAGACAGACAGACAGACAGACAGACAGACAGACAGACAGACAGACAGACAGACAGACAGATAGATAGATAGATAGATCGATCGATAAAAACTGAGGTTTTAAAGCTACAGTTAAAAGAGTGTGAAGCCTTCCTAATGGTGCATAAAAGTGGAATATTTATTGTGATATTGACCTGCTGGTTTTATACATATCCACTGAAGCTCAAACATATGACACTATTTCATCCTTCACAAATGGCTGAGCTGGAGTTTACGCACACATACACACACTTCCATACAGCGTGGCTTCACATCCAGAGTCAACGGTCTCTATTCAAGCACACCTGAAGGAACGACAGTGCCTCCCCTTTACTGCCGTTTCTCACTTTAATGACATGACTCTACATTAATCATCCCAGCACATAACATTAAAGAACCCCAGAAATAAGCTAAAAGTGTCAATCCAGTTGCTTTGGTCATGCTTTTATTTTGCAGTGAATGTGTGTCTATTCCTTTCCACTCCACCTAGATCTTCATCCACATGCTTCCTGTTTACCTTTGCATGCTGCGGCCAAAAGTGGAAGCTCCGATCTTTGTAGTGAGAATGCCCCGCAGGGAGAAAAACAGGATCCCTATCAACAAAGCGTCTGACGAATACTTCATCCGCAAACCTGACTCGTCCATCTTGTTCCCAAAGCCAAACAGGTAAGAATGTAAAAAGTTATGCATTTTTTTCGAGGTTTGCACAATCGCATTTTGGTATTAAGAGCTTTTGGATGTGTGACACTTTATTTAACACTGACCCATTTTTGTAATATTTTACAATCAATCTAATCCAATAATTGGCCACCTGCTGAATTGACAAGAGAATGGTTTCTTTGTATATTTTGACAATAATATTAATTCCTTACAACATATAATCCATCCACGTATAATCCAACATTCCATAAATTCAAGCACAAGTCTGTGGCAGAGACTTCTTGCAACAGGAAAATGACATTAAATATAAAGTCATAAAACAGGTGGCCCCAAAAAATAATAAGCAAAATGGATAATAACAACTATTATATGACTTTCAAACTCTTGGCCCGCAGGCCACTTTTGGTTCAAAAACCACCAACATACGGCCCACAAATGGATGTTAGTTTAATGCAGCTGTTCCCAAAAATTTTTGGACACGCTCCGCTTTCTATATTGCAACCAGATCGACTCAATTACCCCACTTCCCATTACCTGCACCTTTGAAAGAAGAAACGCTTTCCTATAACATGTTTAATCCTGCTCAAATGACCTGAACGGACACATATACAGATATACAGGACTGTCTCAATTCAATTATTAATTATTAATTATTAATTCAAATGTTAGCTTCAATTTACAAAGGAAATGATTATATTCCAATGTTTATTGCGTGAAAAAAATCCTGCTTAAATAAACACTTAAAACCACCCCCTAGTGGCAGCTCGTGCACCGCAGACACAGTCTGGGAAAACCTAGTATAATGCAATCTGACACCATGTTGTTAGTTTTTGGTCCTCCAATGATTTAAAATACTGACGTTTATGCAACGGTAAGTAAAAAATATTAAATGTCAATTCAAGTAGAGAGCAGAGAGTCGATTTCCAGAGGAACCCCATATCCCTAATGACGCCACCTGTGGCAGGCTGTGTCAGTTGCAAATACTAACTCTGTAAATTTGCCCACTGTGCATTGAATAAGGGCCTCAGTTTGTGTTTGTTTTTTGTAAAAGTTGTTTTGTTTTAGTTTTTTTAAATAATAACACACTTCAAATCTTAAAGCCGTATCTCATTTTTCATCTATTCTGCAAAAAAAACGACAAAGTGATGTGCTCAGGCACAAAGCCTTGCTCCACTGAGCAGCGCTTCAGAATTCACAGAGCATTTACACTCCAGACGTCTTCCTAAAAGTCACTTCCATATATTACACGTCCCGTATGTAAATAGCACTGTGTCATTTTTTATTAGCTTGCGGTAAAAGCTGCACTTACTGCCAAAATTCAGGTTTGCGTCACAAGCTAAGAAGCGAACGGAGACAGAGTCATTTGAGGCCCAGCAGCTCCCTGACCTGTGGTGTAGATGTGAGAAGATTTGACGTGGGGTGCCTTTAAATTGGAACGAGCACGCTCCGAACTACAGTATTTCTCATTTTTAAGAAAGCATTCGTCATTGAGGGAGTTTTGTTATCATTTAGGTGCATACAAGGATATTTAAACCTTAGCTCCCGAAACACCTCCAAGAGAAACCCAGACTGATGAGCTTCATTAAATTTTTCACAGAGTGCTGCTCCAGAAGCTGATGAGTAAGGAGCTGGATCTGAGCCAGTGTTGGCACACAAACTGGTGACAAACTGTTCTATCAGTCTAACCACGCTTTGGACACAAATGACCTTGGTCAGACACACTCTAGTGCTGGTGGGAAATCAGCTCCAATGAGGAATCTTCGACCAGCCGTACTTCGTGACGCTAGCCCCCCCCCCCGCGCCCCCCCCCCGCTGCTCTATTAATGCACTCAAAAACTTGTCGCCGCAGCATTTGTGTCTTCCCTTCCCCTCCTGTGAGAACTGAAGTATGTCCAGAGGAGAAGACGCGAGGCGGCGGAGAATCATTGCTAAAATAATAATGACAGTGTGCAAATGGACTCTGGCACATTAGAGTGGGGATGTTGTGTGTCTAGGTGGAAGTACAGGTGACGGAGTTAGAGGGGGAGGGGGGTTAATTAGCGTAAAGTGATGAGACAGCTGTGTCTCTCGGGTCTACACCGACACTCACACATCATAATTGGGTTTAGTGCATGTCTTGGCACCGGGCACGGCCAGTTTTAGTTGAATTAGTCTCCAGAATGGCCATTTGCTTCTCACTGATGAAGTCCTCTGTGCCACAGGAAAGAGAGGGGTGGGTGCAGAGGCCAGGTTGTGTCTTCTTCATGTTTTGAGTTCTTTTGTATGTGATGAGGCTGGACTATTTTCAGGTCACAGCCTCCTCACCTGCCACACTTGCGGGAACGCCAGAGATGGAAGCGCTGCATTGTACACCCCGCAATTCCTGCCCTGAATATCAAGCAGCTCTTGCTCCTACCCTGCCTGTGAGGTCAAACCTTTCATGTTAACTTGTAGACCTGGTGCCAGTCTGCCCTCTGGTGACTAGTAGCGTGAACTGCAACGAATCAGTGTTCTGGGAATTTGTCTTGTACGCGCAGCTCAATAGATGAATGATTCGCATTCTTGAGGGTTTTCTACAAAAGCAAGTGAAGCTGGTCTGAAATAAAGATTGATTTGTTTTGATTGGACAGGATCACGAGGAGCTTGTCAACATATCTTCTGTATCACAGTGTTTAATATTACGTTTGATATGTCTAAGTGGCAGTAAACCAATGCATGTCAGTGCATTACTGCTGATCAGCAATGGTGAGCGTATGCGGCTGACTATGTCAGTTCATACTCTAACAGTCTTCATCTTCATCTTAGGTGTTCACAGGCTTTGCTACATGCCAATGTGTCCCTGGGAAACGTACACAGCTGTGACTATTTACCACCATTAACTCCTATGTTTTAGCACAAATGCTCTCCCTTCCTGCAGAATGTGGTCACATAGGTTGGGTGCAGTTACTGTAGCTACACAGTGGGATGGATGTCATGTTGTCACAGTATGACAGCAACCAGTCACAGGACACGAAGAGAGCCACACCTTGTTCTTTTTATTTTTTCTCAGCTGGATGTTTTAGCTCAAGTGTCCTACTGCTTGTGTGTAGTGCTGCAGCACTTCTTCTTTCTTTTTTTTTTTTTGGTGGTCTGAAACCTTAGGGTATGTCTCCCTACTGGAAGCAGCCTGCAAAGATCCATGTGTCATTGCTCAAGGACGTGCTGCACCACTGTGCACTGTGAATTGCAGCAGGGAAAATCAGAGCAGAAAAAAGTCAGTGTGAGACACTGCAAATATTATTGCAGGAGACAAAAATAATATCTTTTATGAAAGAGAAATTACATACATGTTGATACAATACCTCTTATTTAGGGAGTAGCTGCAAAAATAGGTCTAGGGGAGGCTTCATATACATTTATAGGTTGGGCTATAAAGACACCAGTATTTTACATTAAATGTATTTTTCTAACTTTCTTTCTTTTTAGATAATGTACAGACAGTCTATAACAAGAGTCTCTTGCACAAAGTCTTTGACGGGAGGAGACAAGAGGAAAAAGTAAAACCCTCTGCAGTGTGTACTGATAAAACTGGGTACATCGTGTTTTTGCTGTCAGAGCCTCTGTTTGAGACACTTTTGCAAACGCACCAGTGTTTCACAGTGTCACATCTCGCAGCTCGTTGTGTGCTTCTGCTTCACTCCGTGATTTTGGAGGTGGAAAGATGTCAAAGGGTGAAGCGCTCAGTGGGACTAAAACGTTGTCGGCGTTACGGCGCTGACTCATGCGCTGCCATCACACACAAGTTCACACGCTTGTGTCGTGTGCAACCACCAAAGAGGCAACACACACCGGTGTGTCACCACGTCGCCTTCGCAGGATACCAATACCACCAACAATGATATTTAACAGTTGTATGTTTTTTTGTCGATCGAATATTCACAGATACCAAATATAGTGGAACTTCGAGATATGAGTATAATCCATTCCAGGACCGAGGTGCTCGTATTTCAAATCATTTTCTCCCATAAGAAGCGGGAAAACAGAAAAAAAAATCTGTTCTGGCCCTCTAAAAAATTCCCTTATTAATGCTAATAACAATGGAAAAAACATGTTTTTAATTGCTATAGAGACACATACACAATTATAGAATATAAGGATTCCTGTGATATAAAATAAAATGTGGTTTTAATTATGTGTTCTTACCTTTGAGAGTGATATACACTAACAACTAACAACTAACAACTAACTAACTACATATGTGCGGAGGAGGAGGGGGGAAGAGATTTTGCCCGTATGTAGACACTTGATATCTAGCGTACCTTAGACGTACACTTTGTAAGTTACGTACATATAGTTAAAATTAACTTAACTTAGCTTACAAATTTTATTTTTTTAACTGTACTACTTTTTTGCTTTTTTCGATTTGTATTCTTTCTTTAGCGGGCACCACACTCATACATATTTATTTTCATGCTTTATTTCCATGGTCATCATGCGTTTCTTCTTCTCTCTACCATCCTTACCACTCACTTTCTTAGCATTCGTCACTATTATGAAGAATAATGCACAAAATAGAGAGAAAATCACGTAGATAACGCAAACACAATACAGAAGACTTGCAGGAGACGCATACAGAAGTCGACGAACACGTGAAGTTAGCGAGTGAGACAGCGAGGGCTCGGCCACCTAGCATCTCAAATCTTTACTTGTATCTCAAAGCAAAAATGTACTCGAAGGCTTGCTCGTATGAATACTTGTATGTCGGGACGCTTATTTATGTAGCATGTCTCTGTGGTTGATGCAGTAGAGTGACGTGTAGTTCTGCTTCCCAGTAAACAGTGTCACTAAATCTGTGTAGCACTGTGTCAATGTTTCAGTTAACAAATTAACACACATAATGTTGTCTAATAACTCCCAGGCAAAAGATGTGTAAACTCATCTATCCACTGTCTCATTAAAGTGACAAGAGACATTAGTGTGTTCAGAGCCATGGTTCATCTTTAGGTGATTTAGTCTCGCTTCTGTCTTTTTTACTGACGTTAAAATACCTCCGAACTGCTGACATTGTTGATCTACCTAAATAACCTTCAGATAAGGGCAAAATTGTTCCACTGTAGTTTTGGTCCCAATACTGTATTAAATCACTCAATGGTTCCACTGTAGTTTTGGTCCCAATACTTAAATCACTCAATTGTCCTAAATCTGAAACCCGGTCGAGGTTGGGGGCCAAATAGGATTAACATTTATAGAACAGTCTAGTACTGACAATAATTTACCCAGAAATGAAGAACTTGAACAGATTTCAGCAGCATTTTCCCTTATTCATATAAGTTGAACAATTCAAATTAAAAATATTAATTAAAACAAGTCAAAAAATGTAGGATGTCTCAAGTGAAAAATGTAGCTTATGCTCACCGTACAACCATACACAAGTGAAGCTGTGGTGGGCCGCAAAAATGGTCCGATTTGGCCGCGAGCCTTAAGTTAGATACATGTATTGGTTATTGTTACATCCCTAGCTTGCGATAATTAGTTAATAATAAGTTTAAATCTCACCTATTTTTTTTTTACAAAGTGCTTTCTCCAATATGAAAAATAAATATAGCCAGGCTCTAACAACAACTTTCTCCTGCCTCGTCTCAGCAACGGCCGGTGCCCTACTGTGACTGACGGCTGGTGACTGAAGGCCACATGTAAACACTGACACAGGCACACAAACACATACAGTCACACAGGCTTCTTCAGCCAAAACAGCCAAGTCATCAGACGCAGAGTGGTGGCTCCCTCATTGGCAGAGGCAGCCCGGGGGGCGAGTGGTGTAGGAGGGGGCTCCTCTGACCTTCGGATTATTACCATCTGAATGTCAAAAGAGTGTTAAGCAGACACGCAGCCTGGCTCATGTGCGCTTTAGCATTTCACAGCTTTTAATTACAGTGCAGTCACTACATATGCATCGCTTTAACACTTGACAGTAGGTGTGCCTGCAGCCTGGTGACGGGGGGACTGGTGCCATCCTTAGGAAAATACCACAGTCTGTCTTGGTCTTCATGTGATAGCTTTGTTCAAGGGATAGTAATATGGAGTTCAATGACATGGCCAACACAGACGAGATGACAGTTTATATCTAACTTGATCTTACTGAACGATGCCTGTGCTTCCAACTGGAAAGACAGGTTTTCCTCTACTTAAGTAAAATAAGTATAGCAATTGAAAAGCACAGTTTTGCCGTGGTTAAGCTGTGGTTCAGCCTGTAGAGCAGCTATACAGTATTTTAACTGGCTGAGGGCACGGTTCCAGTTTGTGCATGTACGTCGCAATTTGAGATAAATGTTCTACGTTTTGGGTTTCATTTGTTTGTTTTTATTTGTGACTAATTCACATGGTGGAATTATCGATATTTTCCGCGAACTTCGGTGAAGCTGTTGTCCTCAACAACATTAATCTCTACTGTCCCTTGCTGTCCATTTGACAATTTTGTCAGTGAGCTTGTCAGTGGTAGACCTACTTACTGACCTCTCTGTGAGGCTGTTATGACGCAATCTGAACTGAAGTTGAAGGTCATGCTGGGATGGAATATTTTGTGTGTTAAAATTCAAATCATTCAAATGACTGATCGTGGTTAATGCACTGATTTTGACAGCTCTAGTTTTATATAATCAAAATGTGGTATGCATTCTTGTGTTTGATGTTTCAGGTTTCAGCCAGAGGGCATGATAACAGACCTAAGGAAATTTATCGATGGCCCCAGCACATACCTTTCACTACCGGATGATCTTAAGTCAGCGATAGACGCTATCACATATATCGCAGAGGCCCTGCAGGCTGAGAAGGACTATGAAGCAGTGAGTTTGTTGTTCTTTTAAACCCCTCACCCAGCGTCCTTGAACATTCTCTATAGGTCCTAACTTTATTTTCTTGTTCTTTTCCCCTTACATTTACCCACCGTCTCTCCCAATTCCTAATGGCTCTTTGTCAAATCACCATCTCCAGATGAAGGAGGACTGGCAGTATGTGGCCATGGTGGTGGACCGCATGTTTCTCCTGATCTTCGTTGTCTTCACCACTGTGGGAACCCTGGCTATCTTCGCTGATGCTCGCTTTAACCTAACACCCACTGACCCTTTCCTGCCCTGATGAAGTGTCTTCTCGCTGTTTCATTTTGTAATGTAGAGATTGTAAAATGTATTTGTATTGCACTAACAGTGCTCCTCTGTGTGAACCCCACAAAAATCCAGATGAACCTCTGCGGAATTTGACTAGTCTTACTTGAGAATACAATTAGCTGTAAAGAACAAACTTTCCTTAGGAGACTGAATACAACCTAAACATGAACTAATTTTCCTTGGAAAAAAAACTCTTGAAATGTCGTGCAACTCTGCCAAGTAGATAGAAGTCAATTAAGTCTAATATATGGTTATACCTATAATTTACCACTAGAGAGAGCCCAAGTACAGCCAGATGCACATGTGCCATGGTTTGAGAACCAACACTTGGTTACCATTGGGGCTACCATATCAAGTGTAAAAGGTTCAGCAAGTCAGATGGAACTGTTGCAATTACTGTTCTGCAAAGTACTAAGTGTGTATTTACAGAATAGAATAATATAATTCATTTGGCTTTAATGTGTATTTACAGAATAGAATAATATAACTCATTTGGCTTTTTGTTTATGGAATCTCTGTAATAGGGTTTTTATCCACAATAAAAGAAAATATTTTTTTTCTATGTCTACAGTTTTGTAAAATCTTGAGCCATGGCATTTTTTAAAGTATAATATGCTTGAGATATTCTTGTTTCAATTTACTTTGTAAAATGTGAGCCTGTTTAGTTGAACACAATCCTGATAAACTGAAGATGAGGAATTGAAGAAAGACATGCAAACAGCAGCTCTGTGTCTCTTTTTCTGGTTTCTAGTATCTATTTGTTGCCACCTGGTGGCCAAACTCAGGGTGCACTCACATGTTCTGTTCTGTAGCAGGCAAAGTGCTTAAATGCGTCTGACCCACTGTTTCATGCTTCAGCCCATCTCCCGCAACCGCGCCGTAGCAGGGAAGTGCTTCACGCACATTTGCGGAACAGTTGCACTCGCGCCGTAGCAGGGAAGTGCTTCACGCAACGGAACAGTTGCACTAACACTAGCCAGAGAATCTGGACTTTAGGTGGCAAAAGTACTCGGGCACAGTATGATGGCCCTAGTGTAGGTGTACCCTTAGACAAACTACAGTTTAAACACTAAATAAATGTGAACAATCTTCCATGGTACACCTGAAGATGTACATAAACACTGCTTTACGGTATGTTTTACCATCAGTAAATTCTAGAGTCTACAGTTTATAGTGTAGTGTCATCTAACCCAACCTAAATACTACAGCTTTAAGAAATTGTTGCCAAGAAGACAACACTTGATTATTGAAAACCCGTCAACAATGACAAGGGCATTGATTACCTAATGAAAATGTACCAATATTCTGATGTGGCTGCCTCACAGATTTATCCACTTTGCTCTTTGTGTTTTATTTGTGATAGTCACTGTGAGTCTACATCTAAGGTTTAATATTCTTATGTGGTGTTAACGCATAAACACCAGGTCAAAGCAGATGCTATGATGAGCAGGTCGTGTGCCATTCACTTCCCTGTGTAAAAATGAGCCAGAGTGCGGCACGTGCTTTGTGGATATTTTTTGCTACTGTAGTAATCCACACTGTATTTTAGGCACTGCTGTCGTGTGTGTGAGTGTGTGTAGAGAGAAACAGTAACAGTTGTTTAAACAGTTGGACTTTCTTATGAAGGTAAAGAAGATTACTTCCAGGAGGTGACATTGGGAAACTCGTAGCTGTAGCACGATACCGCCTGAAAAGTTCAATTTGTCCAACTTCATTCACTTCACCTTAGGCGCTCTTTTGCTTCATCCACACATCCAACAGAAGTTCCAATCATTCCGCCGCCGCCTAATTCGCATACTGTCATACCATTTACTGTACATTGAGAGTGTATGTGGAACTGCTGCTCAATCTGTGACCAACGTCGCCCACAGACTCTATAAATAACCACCTCTCACTGACACAGATTACTGGACTTTGCCACATGGGCTTCCCTGACTTCTCCCAGTGTGATTACACTCATGCATACATGCAGTGCGTCAGCTGAGGCATTTGCAGGCTGAGAGAATGCAGTCAGTCTCAGCGGGTCATCGTGGAGACAAAGCTGACAGAGCTTTGACGCTACAGACAGGACTGCGGCATTACTGCCTCATTTCCACCCCTACTTTTATCTGCAGCCTATTATCTTTCTCTTTGACCTTGCATGAAACCGTAGCATCACAAAGACAGACGCACAAACACACCATGGGGCCCTTCTGAGTGATGTATTTATACTCGGAGCAGAGGCATGCGGGGGGCAAATCCGTGACATTCTTCTTCTATCAACCCTCAGCGCAGCTTTGATTTATGTCCTCTTTGTGTTTTTGCACTCAAGACCCTGACATGAGACAGAGCAGAAAGTATGACCTCGCATATAAAAGAAAATACGGATATAGAATGAGATGGTGTGAATAAATTTAACAGATAGGTATAAATATATAACAGCATTTAAGCACTTATCTCAGTGGAGAGCAGAGTCTTTCAGTGTACTACACTTTACAGTAACTCCCACAAAGGTTACCTTCACTGTTCAAGAGACATCGTGTCAAAAGGAGTCAGTCGTCAATGCCACTGAACAACAGCATTACTGCACTGCTAACTGCCTTCACCTGTCTCGTCTCCTTTCACTTGTCAAAAATCCTTATAATCTTTATAAGACAATTATTCATTTTGTTTGTTCTTACTGATGATCCCGTTGCGAAATTACCTACAGCATGATCACAATCACAATTTCCATCATCTTATATTTTAATATCTCCAACCCCCCAAAAAATATATTAGCTATATAGATGATATTAGCTTAATTATGTAATATCGGTAAGAATCATTATCATTTTTTTCTTTCTCCAATAATGAAAACCCAATAATACAATGTCAGGATTTGGCCTAGATTGGTGGTTCTCAAACTGTGGTACGCGTGCTCTCTTGTGGTACGTGGGGAAAATTCATATTTTCACATTTACATTTTCAAATGAATAAATCTGAAACATGCACAATTAATACAACATTTAAACCTAAACATCTTTCTAAACATCTCTCCTGTGGTGGAAGCTAACAGTGAAGGCCTCTGCTGCTGTATTCTAATGTTGGTCATCATGGTGGTACTCAGAGAGATCACTGCTTTCTCAGGTGCAGAGTAGAAAAAGTGTGAGAACCACTGGGTTAGATGATGTGAGTTAAAAAAGTGAAACTATTATTTGTATTGTGCACAGTAGTGTCATTGTGACACAGTACACCACTGCACACAACAAAATAAATTGTTTTATATTGATTACTGAAATACATAAATATATTATTATTAATAATAATAATAAAATTAATAATTAATCTAAAGCCTGGCAATAGTCCCTGGGCCAGTGGTTGGGGACACTTGTGGTAAAACCTTTTATTTTGCCAGAGCTCAGTATTTTCAAGCAGATTAGATATTTGTTTGAGTGGAACAAAACTGACAGAGAGAAAACAAACATTTTTTATAAACCAAACCAGCATGTCAGAGCAAAGAGAATTACTAGAGCTCCACATGGAAATGACATTTAAAACTGCAGCCAAATAAAATGTCAACTTCAGCTGAGAATATGCCTGTGTATCACTACCACGAGGACACTTCAGTGCAGCTCACAGCAAACCTCAATGTTATTATTTGTCTTTTGAAACTAAGAAGTCAGTAAACAGAAGTCATATTAGAACATACAGAAGAACCATCCTCTGAAGGTCAAAGTGACTTTTACTGCCTGGTCTTTGGGAAATCACTGACTTAAATTCTTAAGAATAATCTCTAATGTAAACTGATTAACAACTGCATTGTGTTATTCTACAAAAGAGGCTGAATATCATGGTCAGCAGTGGTAATTCCACATGACAGCCAACACGTACATATTTAAATAACAGGAACATGGCGCTACACACAGGCTTCAACAACAGAACAGCTGATCAACAACAACAACAACATCGAGCTGGATTAGGGTGAATGGATCAAGGACATTTACCCACAGTCATCAATACCACAATACATTTACAGCCATATTTGTGTCACCATGCACATTCAAGTCTCTCTAAAGGAAAAATAGAAAGGCACTGTGAAGCGTTCAAGTGACTATTTTTATGTAGGAAATTCTAGTTCAACCTGCAAAAAACTAAGCGTAGAGTTTTTTTAGTTCGGCGTACTCCCAGGACTACACTATATGTACAGTCCAACCAGTTTGTCTTTGCTGGTTATTAAGTTTTGTGGCTGCTATTACTGACTTAATAGTGAGTCCCTTTTCATGAAGAAGTGGGGGTTGAGGTTGTAGTTGGAATTTAACCTAGAACAATCTGTATCACAGCTGGAAAATCTACCACTCTGTGCAATTACATCCACAATAACTTGTATTGTGTTCTTTCACCAGATGTTATGACTCAAATAAACAATATTTCGAGCTGCTACAGTAAACTCAAAATAATTTACCAAAAACTAAAAACAAAAACAAACATATCTGTCCTCTGCAATGTCCTTTGGTACCACTAGTGGTCCCCTTTCCCCTTGTTTGTAAAGACTACATGAAAATAATATATTAAAGACTACTATATATGCCTGAGAAGACATTTTGCATTTTGTCATTTAGAGTAGTTTCGTGGGTTACAGGGCACTCACTAAAAAGTGTTCACTATTACTAATACACACAACCAGAGGTAATAAAGTTAAAGAAATAGATGTTCATCGCCGACTCTCTTCTCCATAGAAGGCTCTTCTCCCTTTGGCAGAATAAACTGCTTACACCTGACTCTGATGCCAGCGCTTTAAACTGTCTATAAAAATCTATGGATGAATTTTACTGCATATATGGTGGACACAGTCATACTAATTACAGATTACACTTTGTTAGGACTAAGCAACATCTAATAGTGAAGTTATATAATGCTGATGTATATCCCTCACTTTGCTTTTTTTGCTGGTGAACATAGCTGCATTAAAATGACTCAGTGCATACCTTTGAGAAGCAGAGACCGAAATCAATGACTACGAAATAATTGACACCACTGCCAACACAGGAAGAGACACAGATGAAATTCCCGTTGTACCACATCCGCTCGTCCCTCCTCCTCCCAAAAATATCTTCATTGTCATAACCCATAACCCACTGTCGCTGCTTCACCCCATCCCACAACTCCCCCTGCACTTCCTCTTCCTCCCACTCCGAGTCCTAACCGCACATTGGTGAGCACCAACAGGTGCCTGCCCCACAGGCTTACAAGCCCAAACACATAACGCCCTCTCGTCACTCCCAGCACACCACATCCAATCAGGCTGTGGTCTCACCCCATGCAGCCTGTGGAGCAAAGAGAGAAGAAGAGAAAGGAAAGGGAGAACACTGAGTGATCCACCAATAACCTATACAGCAACTAAAAGTCAACCATAAGGAATTATTTGAACGTATACAGCAACTAAAAGTCAACCATAAGAAATTATTTGAACGTTTTTTTTTTTGTATGTTAGAGCTCGAAGGTAGTTAGGAGGTTTCTGGAGGCTGTCGTCCTTCTCCAGCGAGTTCCAGCTGAAGGTGGACCCTGTCTATAGCAGGGAGAAGGGCCTGTGTCTGGCACATCAAGGAGGCAGAAGATGCCATTATTATTGTGGCTAATGTCAGACAACTGAAGATGGTAGTCAAGGTTAATGTAGGAATGAACGCTCTCCTCATCATATGCAGCAGTCTTTTTCTCACTTTACTTGGTAAGAACTTTGATTTGAATTATTGTTGTCATTTGACCAGTTGTCCTTTTGAATGGCCAGTGTTTCTTTCCCTGATCCAGCACGTTCACTTCGACTTAAATTTTGAAATTGACTTGTCTGAGTTTATCATACGAAGATGTGACTACAGCAAAATACGCTCATTATATATTTAAGGTGAAATCAAAACATCACACATCTATAAAACACACAATGCTTCTTCATCTCCTGTACTCATACCAAAGTAGAGGTTAGAGCAGGAAAAACAAATGGTTTGACTGCCGATGACTTTAACCTTTGATCCCTACGACAGGGGACTGGAAAACAAACCACTGCCCTGGACTTCTTGGCATTCCTCTGCCTTAACTGTATTTTAACTACAGTAATTATTCAAGGGTACCTCAACACAAAATCCATTTCCTAGTTGACAGTACTTAGGTTATTAGAATTTCTGCAGTGCAAAATTCTTATGCAAAAGGGCTATTGATTTTTTTTTCTTATTGTAATCACAACATATATACAGTGATTTTTTTTTCCCCATCTTAGCTTAGCTGAAGGGATCTGACTTTTGACCCTCAGATATCTCAGTGGGAGGGGGAGAGCATGAAGCTCCCTGGTCGTAGCTAGGATTGTTTCTGTCCCTCAGTGAGAACCACCTCCCAGGGTGCTTCTACATCTGTGGCAAGCTAAAAACAAAACAAAACAAACAAAAGAAAAAACCACAGCGAGAAAACCAAACTGCAGGTGCAAAAACCAGCAGACACAGCAGGGAGGGGAGAATCCTCATCACGTGACCCGTCTAAGATCTAGAAGTCGCCCCGCTTGAATAGCAGATAAATCCTTCTGAGAACATATAATGAATGATATTAAAAGATCATTGTTTGTTAATCAGACTCTATTTTGGTGCCTGATGGAGGCGGAATCCGACACATCCCTTTGATCCATTCCCCTGCTGCATATCAATTACATTAGCTCAGTCACCTTTGCTACCCATCGTACATCACTATCATCTGTCCAGCGTCTTTTGCATGTCCTGTCTGTCCTTCTCCATCTTCTTCGCATATTTGTGCGGTCACTGGAGGAGAACAAACTCAACAGAAGTGGGACTTTGTGGAATCATTCATTCAGTAATGTCCAATGTCCAAGGATTTTTTTAGCTTCGCTATTAATAACATTTTCACTGCCATAATTTTTCACAAAAACAAAACAGTCAAAATAGTAGATAGTAACTTTTTTCCCTGCTTGAACCAGTCATAGTCACAGTGTTAATAACAAGGAAAGCAGGTAGCAATTTGTCCTCACTGTATATGCTGAATATTTTTAGCACTGGACATTCTAAAAGAGAAATGAACCTCTGACCGATAAAGGCCTGACTCACTGACCCCCCATGGTAACAAGCAGACTGCGGTCTGAAAGTCAGTGACCAAAGTCCAACAACTCTATCAACACAGGATTTGCTATTTTTATATTCTAATTTTATCAAAAATCATGGACACACATGAAACAAGTGCTGGAATATAAGAAGATGTATGCATGTGTTTTCTCTTTTTGTTCAGATGCCTCCGAAACAGAGCGAAAGCTCCACAAAAAGCTCTTTCAGGACTACAACATGAAAGTCAGGCCAGCTCGATACTGGGAGGAGAAGGTGATGGTGCGTGTGGGGATGACGCTCTCTCAGCTCGTCAGCTTGGTAAAAAAAATAAAAATACATACATGTCAATGCAAACCTAGTCTACACAGTGACTATGACTATGATGTCCCTTATTTGTGGAGAAATTCACAATATTTATTTATCAAAAAAAAGACCAGAGAAGACAGTTAGTGTTTTTATCATCATAACACCTATATCACCTTATTTCTATTTGTTGAACCAACCGTAAACTATGGTTATTTAAACATTTCAAAAGATTTGAATGAGCTGCTCGGGAAAGATAAACTATGCCACAGACAGACCAATCCAAAGATCAGACCCTTTGACTCCAAAGATACATGGTGAAATTTGTACAGAATGAATATATTTTTTCTTTGCTACTACAAGCATTAGAAGCAGAAAAAATAAATCCTCTTCTGGCAGCAGAAGGCTATGAAAACTAAAAAAAAGATCATCAGAGCTCTTTCAAAAGATCTTTGTGAGTCTCTCTCTTCAATTCCTGCCAGTATATCAGCATTGTCTTCAACTAAACAGGCTGAGATTTTAGTCCATCATGAGATCATTTAAACTGAAAGATTAATATATTCCATTAAGTGAGATTTTTGTTTGGTGGTGCGCCGTGGGGTTTTCCTGATGATATATTTGTGCCGTGGCTCAAAAAAGGTTGGAAAACGCTGGTCGAGACAATGTCATGATGGAGTGTGGTGATCTACAGTACTGGTGACTAAACATACTGTATATGCAGAGCTCTCATACTGTAGCATAGAACATCATGTTTATATTATCTTATGGTCCATCACAAATGAAATCAGACCTGGAATACACAAATGAGTTTTTGGAAAAACAAAATTAAAACAACGAACAAGCAAAAAACAAAAAAAGATGCTCACTTTTCACAGTAAGCAGTATTAAAGTGATCAAAATGTTTCATTCCAGTACTAAGCCCATTTGGACAGTTGAGCAATACTGCATTAAAATGTATTTCAAAACTGTTCCCTGCTCTTTGCATTAAGGCCGGGATCTGCCACAGCGGGCCTGTGACCCAGAGTGGGAGTGTAAAGATACTTTAGGGAGGTCAAGAAATTCATAGAAATATGAAGCTGTAAAGTATTTGAAAGGATACATGAATACGAGGTACATAAATGGTGGTAGTCATGTCATAAAAGACATTTTTTACAATATTAATACTGTAATACAAGGGTACCTGCTCTACTTCTATTAGTTTGTAGTCCTTGGTCTAGTAAATGTTAGGGAGGGAGTGCCAAAAACATTGATATTATCAACTGCTAAATTTAATAATGTTATAGATTTTTTTTTGTCTATAACATTGATTGTAATCGTACAATATCCTGTTTAGATTTAACCTGTTCCTATTTATTAAATGAGGAAATCTAAATCTAAAAACCACCTAATTTTTTTGAGTGTGCAGCAATGAATCGATTTTATGGAAATACAGCGTGACCATAAATACATCTGTCAAAAGAACATAAAGTGTAAGGTGACTTGTCATGACCTTGAAGCACACAAGTTAAAGTTTTTAACGATGACCTTGAAGCACACAAGTTAAAGTTACAGTGTATACACTGGATGCTGCAAAGGCTGAAATAGTGTTGTCTGCGGATCACAGGACTCACTGTTTTTCAACAGAGCCAAAAATTTATACCTTAAAATAAAATAATCTTTAGGTAAGTTGGAGTACTTCAATGAAAAATATAAATAGTCATCCAAATAATTACTTGCGTAAGAGTAAAAAAGTACATGGTGAAAAAACTACTCAAGTACTGAGTAACTGTTGAGTAACACTTATTTTTCTTACAGCACAAGTAACAAAAACTTCCAAAAGCTTTATCCAGTATCTCTGTACGGAGTAACAAGCTCAGTATAGCCTAATGTAGCAGAGTAAGAGTACTGTTTTTTCTTCATAAATCTACTCCAGTAAAAGTAAAAAGTGTAGTGATTTAAAACTACTCCTAGAAGTATTTTATTTTGAAAAACCTACTCAAGTAAATGTAACCAAGTAAGTGTTATTCGTTACTACCCACCTCTGTTTTTCAAGATACTTAGCATTTTTTTAATTCTGTTTTTTGTTTTATTTCTTTCTGTAGAATGAGAAGAACGGCGAGATGACAACCAACGTTTTCATGAATCTGGTATGAGCTAGCAGACGTTTGTCTTCATCACTCAGTCACGCTCCTCTGCTCTGACTCTCCTCTCATGTGCTCTGTCACACTGCCCTTAAACAGACATGTCACTTCCTATAACCACAAATTATGTGGCGCCGCACATCTTTCAGTCTCGAATTTGCTCCTTCACTTCTCCGCCTCGCGCTTGCTTATTGGAATACAGTGCAGATTGAGAGTTTCTGACAGTGCTACGTCAGCCTGTGTCAAGATAAATAGGGTTTGATCAAAGTCAGGAGAAATGGGGACGTAAATGACAAGAGACTTCATTTCATAGCTATCTAGCAGTATGTTGTTTCCTTTTATCTCCCCTCTTTGACCCTCTAAGTGCCCTCCACCCTTGTTTCTCAGGCCTGGAAAGACTACAGGTTGTCGTGGGACCCTAAAAAGTACGACAATATTGACGTTTTAAGGATTCCTCCCATTAAGGTGTGGCGTCCTGACATCTACCTCATCAACAAGTGAGTCGTTACTGTCACTCTTTTTCTTAAAGTATTTATTGTTAAACAATCATATCTCTGATGACTGAGATGGACCGAAGAGTAATAGAATAAATGAATATTCAAAATAACATTATTATTATTATTATTATTAAAACAGTGGTTCCCAACGTTTTTTGGTTATTATTATTAAAACAGTGGTTCCCAATGTTTTTTGGCATCACAAATTTCTGGTGACCCCAGAGACATTTTATATTTTTCTTGAATTAGGTTTTGATCATGTTTGCTAAACAGTGTTGCATGCGTATATAGAGCAGCCAGATTAGTGCATGATTTTTTTTAACAATTTTTTGTGTGATGTTTTCAATTATAATTTTTATCAGTAATTTTTTTAATCAATTAAAGGCAACCCCCGTTTTAATTCCATACGTCCCCACATGGGGTCGTGACCCCATGGTTCAAGTTGTTGTACACACTGTAATGACATGAAACCAATGTTAGAGTAACCAACTCGAGGTAACAAAAAGTAAAGACAAAATTATGTGGGGCTAACTGACGTTCACGAAAATTACTGGTCAACTAATTAAAAAGCGAGAAGGACTCTGGCACAGGCAAAATCCAATTAGTGCTGTTTTACTGGGGGGACGGCTAGTAGGATGTGGTATGACCAGAAGAAGAAGAGTGGGGTCGGAATGGATTATTAAAAAATCATTATTATCAATCCAAATAACTGAATATGGCTTTCTTATATGTTACAAATGCAAAAATCATAATTTGCTAACAAAATCAACGTCATGTATTTCCTTACAGCAATGACGGTCAGTTTGACGTGGCATTGTACGTCAACGTCTTGGTTTTCAGTGACGGGACGGTGAATTGGCTTCCTCCAGCCATCTACCGCAGCTCCTGTTCTATAGAGGTGAAGCCGTTTGATTCTGTGTAAATAACAAGGGCCCGTCTCAAAGCTGATACTTCAGTAAATACCTATACCATAGTGCAACATTTGTATCATTCTACAGGTTTCGTACTTCCCATTTGACTGGCAGAACTGCAGCATGGTTTTCCGCTCTTACACCTACGACGCCTCTGAGGTGGATCTGCAGTACTTCTTGGATGATGACGGCAATGAGATCCAAGAGATTGTTATTGATGAGAACGCTTTCACTGGTGAGTTCCAAAAACTACCCCTACATAAAAATAAGCCTTTTAATGTGGGATTTGTAATGTGCTTACACTACGGCAGATAGGTAGATAAGTATATACAGTACATGCAATTAAACAAGTTCAAATTTGAAATGTGAATAATCGCACAGTTGCTGTTGATTAATCACGATTAATCACAATTGTATTTAAATGATATGATATACAGTAGAGTTCAATAACAATATGTGTTCTTTGCTGGGCATAAAGAATAGTCTTAAGATCCTTGCAGATTACAGACAAACTTTGTTTTTTATCTACATCACTCTCTTCTGTCCGTTCTCCACAGAGAATGGAGAATGGGCCATCTGTCATAAACCCTCGAGAAAGAACATTAAGGAGGATCTGTATGAAGACATCACTTTCTATCTCATCATAGAGAGGAAGCCTCTTTTTTACATCATCAACATCATCCTGCCCTGCATCCTCACCAGCGTGTTGGCTATATTTGTCTTCTACCTGCCCCCCGGAGCAGGTCAGGACGTGTGATGTGTTTT